TCCACGACACCTGTGCCGACGGCGTTGCTGGAATGGGGAAGGAAGAGGTCGCGGATGATGAGGCTCCCCAGAACCCTCTCGTGGACGATGGGGGAGGAGGAAGAAGTTGCGGCGGCGGCGGCGAAGAGAAAGGGGAAGAGGAGGGCGAGCCCGCAGTCGCCCCTGGAGGGATACAGCAGCGCGTCGGCGAGCGGCGGCGACGATGGTGCGAGGGCCCCGGGATCTGCCTGCCTTGCCGCCGCCACGCCGGATGACCGGCTCACCAAGGTGACCCCTCACCCACTTTTTCCGCTGCTGCTTCACCCTTTTCTTCTTCTACCATATGACGAAAATACCCCCAGATCGAATCCAAAGTTTCTCCCCGCTTTCTCCTCTGAATTCGATCACAATTCATCTCGTTTTTTCCTTTTTCTTCTTCGGATGAACTTTGTCAAAGGATTTAATTGGTTTAATAATTAAAATTATCGTTTTAATTTCGAAGAATTTTTTTGGAGGATTTTTCTTCCCAGGATTCAATCAGTTCGAGGGAGACTCCCGCGTATTGACCCCTCCTTTGGAAGGGGCGTTTTCGTCATTTCGGACGATGCGAGGGATGTCCACAGAAGAGTTAAAAGAATGGGTTGATGAGAAGACCATCCCGTTTGCTGCCCGTCTCACTCACTTGACCTGCGATTGATAACTCTCACGCATTTTAACGTGTCGCGTGTGGTGTGGGTACTGATAAGAATAACACCGTGTCCCTCGGATCCATTTTGAACGGCCCAGATGCATTTCTCTCCCCTCGTTACAGCATCTAACCCAGTTGTGCGCCTCTTTTGCGGCAGGTGGTCGGCAACCCACGGGCACCGTCGGTTTCATCGATCCCTGCTTCGAGCTCCATCCAACGGCCACCGTCGAAGAAAATGGTAAGCCCCCGAACATGGACTTGTCGGCATGCCCCTTTAATTTTACTTATTACTATTAAATGGCGTGGGGTTTTGTTTGGGTTTGGTGAGCAGACGAAGCCGGAGCTGCAGGCGGTAGAGAGAACGCTGCTGGAAGAGAGAGCGAAGCTTCATAAGGTTATATTTATTTCCCTTTTTCTTGTGGCCTCCTTCCTCGACCTTCACAGGTTATGTTATCTCAGTCTCGTAACACATGATGCAGGAGATGGAAGACCTGCGGAGAGCTGTGGAGGTGCTGAGGGCGGACAATTGCAAGATGCAGGTGACCACCAACCACCCGTGCCTTCCTTCTTTTGGTGCTTTTCCCCAGCTGCCTGCTCTCTCTCAGACTGGTGGATGTGCCGTCCGATGTCGTGTCATTTCTCAACACGTCGGAGCGTAGACTTGTGCTGTCTTGCCTCTGGCTGCGGGCCCATGGCCGCCTGCCGACCAATGGGAAGGCGGACTAGCATGTGGCTGGACCGTGAGAGGTTGAACCCGGTTCAAGCTGTTTGAGACCTACAGTGAGTCTGCAGACCGCAGGCTTCGTGAGCATGCCCGGCTGAACCCGTCACTGACAGAATAGTAATTGCGAGGTAGTTGCCGTGCAGGTCCGTCCGTGGGAATTCTTTGGTGGATCAGGTCTGGTCCACCGCGGCATCCGTGAACCTTACCCAGCTAAAGGACGAGGAAAACATGGAAACTCCGTAGAAATGCATCTGGGAATTTGCATTTGTGCTATTAAGGAAGGCATAACTATTCCTACTCCCCATGGAGCTGCGTTTAGCATGCCATACCTGCATCTGCCCTAAACTGCATGCGCCGTGTACATAAAACATTGTGGTGCATTTATGCGCTTATCCTTGCTATGGTGCACTCGGCACCATCATGCGGTAAGGCACAACGGGTCCCACCTGGATACCACGACCGGCCGCGTTGGCTGGTGCATGTATATAAATATATATCCCATCATATGCATGCACACCGGGGGGAAAACAACATGAACTTGTCTGACAGTAAGCAGCAGGCCAAATCCATTATAAATTTACTTGGTTTAAAGAATAGGTTGGCGTTTTCCTTGCTAAATAGGTTGCTTGACTTGGGGCATAGCATTAAGCATTCAGTTATATGAATAGGTTGGCGTTTTCCTTGCTAAATAGGTTGCTTGCCTTGCTCCAAGATTGGTGTGTATTTCTTGGAAATTTAGATTCTAGAGTTAGTGAGCTGCTGCTGTATTAGATTCATATGTGTTCATTGTCAGTTGGCCTTTAGCTGGTTTTGTTAGAGGGGGAGATGTTGACAGGAAGTAGTTAATGATATATTAGCTATGCAGTTTGTGCACTCATACTCGTATGTGTGAATGATGTCTACGATCTCAATTCCGTCTCTTGTCAATATAGAAATTGATTAATTGTCCTCACCTAGATATCTGTCTAATATATTCATTAACTTGAATACCGTTTTGAACATGAAATGCATTTAAGGTGCAAAATCTGATCAGTTAATGTTGACCTTATTGAACGGCCCTATTATGAACCACGATAATTACATAGAGCTCACCTGATGTTTTGAGAATGTTTTAAGAGGTTGCTTAAGATTTTCTTCCGATACTTCTGTTATTGATGATTTCAGAATGGGGATTAAAAATATTTATTTTATTTTGTCATTTGTTGTTTGTTCTCAGAGACAGATCTGGTGGTCATTACTTTTAACTCATTTGAACATCTACAATCACTGGATGGTTTTAAGGCTGAGTGTACAAGTGACAACCAAGAGATTAAACCTCATAATTTGTTGATCACCCATAACTTCTCATGTGTTATGCCTGGTTGTTCTTTTGTCCTTTACATCTCTTGCGAGTTACATGGGTTCTAGATTTAGAACATTCTGATTTTAATTGATTATTGTGCTTGGTCCTACAAGGGTTCTTTATGTTGATGATTACTAGCTGCAACAGGTTACACTTGTTAAACTCTAATGGTTGAATTATTTACTTGCTCCTTCATGGTACAAGGAATATTAGTTGATTGTCATAGTATGATACTTCTGGTCTTCACGACTAACATATAAGCGAATGAACTTAATGACTTTTGTGGATAATTGTCTTGTAAGTTCTTATACAAATTTGTTTCTTTGTAATAAGTAAAGTAAACAATGACATGAAAAATTGCACAAAGACACAATTAGACCAATATGTGCTTTTAGGCCTACAGCTAGGTTGCTGTATCTGAGTTTCTTGTCATTTCTATGTCCTCCAGAAAGTTGGCCGTTATTTACTAACCATGACAGAAGTAAGAAATAGAATGCTTGAATATAGTATTTCATGAGAGTTTTGATCTGGCCAAAAGTGTTTTATGCAAAAGATTGTACATCTTCTAGCATTTTTGTTTGAAAACATAAATAAGCAGTATTTGAGTAAGTTGGGAAAATTTATCCTGTGCTTTCATGGAAAGACAAGATCAGCATTTTGTCCTTTCAATTTTGTGTTGGAAGTAAATCGATTAGTTGAAAGATGTATGTCTAATTCTTCATCAGTCATGTGGTTTGATATTTCCCCTGAAGACTAATTCTTTGGAGGCTCAAAACGTGACCCATCATTCCCTTAGACCTCTGAATGAGCCCGAAGCCTTGTGATAGTGTCATTTCTTGAGTCTTCGTGACAGTGTTCTCAACTAAGCTTACCCATTATCATGCAGTTCTAAGCTGCTCATACTTTAGCTGTCAAAATATATTTCAAGAATTAATACTTCTTTGGTTGATTTGCTTCATCATTCTCGCAGATGCACTTGGAGTCGCCAAAGATACCAGTTAAGGTTCACGTGGTTCTTGAAGATGTCCAATTCCCTGGAATATGCCAGCACATCACTCCATATTCGCTCCCTGGCCGCAAAGATTTGTTAATGATACCAGACCTCAATGATCCATTGCCAGATTGTTGAGTCTCCAGACTGTTGTGCTGAAGTATCAAGAAAGGCAAAACTTCTCCCTTTGTGAATGATCAACCCAAACTCTAGAAGGTAACTGGTGACAAGTGGAAGGTGGGTTTCATGAAGCATTGCATCTCTAACCACAGTTCTGTCTAATATATTAGGGAGAACCCAAAGGGAGCTCCACAGATACTTAGAGAATATGGATTCACTGATTATTTGCTACTTCAAGAATTTACACGAGTGTGATGCTTTATTCTTCTCCAAGATGAAATGGTATTTGTTTGTTAGCTTCTGAGATTGCAAAGTGATTCTGTTCTGCATGGCACCCATTTGGCACTAAATTCTTGTGATCTCATTGAAGCCTTTTGTTTGAAGACACAAGATTCTCACTGGATATCATTAATTGATGAGGTTATGAATCCTAGAACACCGTCAATTTGCAGGCGATGGACTTGGAATTAGTAATTGCCTCTAGGCTGCTTTGTAGGTGCACAAGATCTTGGAGGAAAAATTTGACATCAAACACTCATCAATGCTTATCTGCAGTTACAGGGGGTTCTATAGATCATTAGATCATGCATTGATGACAAAATCCATCGTGTTGAAAGAGAAACATTAGACCAAACAATCTCCAACCATGGAAACCTCTTGAAGACACTCTTGCTCCCATGGTGGCGGCATCTTAATAAGCACTCGTAATGATCCCATCATACAGGAAAACATCACCATTTGGAGTGAAAGCTCGAGACACTATTATTGAGACGCAATCAATCTTGGCAAGTTGTCATGCCATTGCAGAGGTTTCCAAGATTGTTCCTTGATGGAAGATGATCGGAAGTGAATAGAAAGGTGGGCAGGTAGATGATAAGAAGATGAAGAGGAAGACCAATGGGTTCGTATGTGTTGACGGCCAATGACATAAATATGCAGAAATTAATAAAGCTTTCATCGGTCATCACATCATGAAATATAGTAATTTTCTATTTTCCTTTTATTTATTTATTCATCAGGAGTGGTGGCAGGATGATGGACGGGGAAGAGCCTATCCCACAAAAACCAACGGTCTAGAATTCCCCAGAGACAACTTTAGAAACCCGGTCATTCCAGAGAGACCGAGAGAGAGAGACAGGGAGAGAAGTCGAGTGTGATGACGGGCCTGATGGCCATCTCCTCCCCAACCCTCTCTTCTTCCCAACTTCACTCCTCCCTCCGTGGCTTCCGCCCTCCTCCCCACCCTCTCTGGCTCCGTGCCCGCCCTTCTGTCCCTGGTCCCCGCTCTTCCCGCGGTCTTCGTGTTTCCGCTACCGCCGCACTCTCCGTCGAGCAGGTAAGCCTCGTCTTGATTCCCAAAAAGGCTTCTCCTTTCTCTTCAATAAACCTTATCGAGAATGCCGGTTGCTATTGTGGGCGCTTCGGGCTTACATCAACATCCATCGAGTGGAAAGCAGAGTTTTTTGGCACGCTTCTTTGCTGAATCTCGCTGGTTGGTCCACTCGTTTCTGTAGAATTATGTCGAATTATCGATTTCCTCTGAGTGACCTTCCATGATCAGAAGAGAGATGGTGTGGTGGTTGCACAGGTTTATTGACCTCTGGTAGAACGCTTGTTGTGTTGTAGTGAGATCTAATGTGCCTTTGGTGGCTTTTGCTGATAGCTTTTGACTTGTGCTTCGTGATTATGTTACAAATTGGTTGTGATATTAGGGTTTATTTGCCAATGTCTATAGAACCAATCAATTCCAAGAAGTAATTTTTGGCACTCTGCCAAAAATTAAACGAATCACAGTGATAGGAATGTGATCTTAATGATAAGCTACTTCTGTGGTGATCTTTTCTTCTTCCTGAGCTAACTTTGGTTGTCTGCATAACTGCAAACGAACCTAAATCCTTCTACTCTTATGGGGCATGTAGTTACTAATTAACTATACTTTTATTTTACATGCTGCCATATCATTGTATTTTTCATTCTTTATGTGATCGTTTGACTTTTCGTGAAATGCTGGATGTACTTTCTGAAGGGATTGCTTTACAGGAGACTCGAGTTCAGCACAATGATTCAATGGACCTCCAGTTGCTTGCATGCCCAATTTGCTATGAACCATTAATAAGAAAAGGACCTGCAGGTTTAAATGTGTAAGTACAGTTTTACATGCCATGAGATAGAAATACTTGGTTATTTACTTGGGTTAATTATTTTTTGTTCTTGTAATTGCTGCAGGCCATCCATATACAGGTCCGGATTTAAGTGTCAGAAATGCAATAAGTCATTCACCAGTAAAGATGTTTATTTGGATCTAACTATCACTTCAGGAACAACAGAGTACAGCGAGTTCAAGCCTGCTAGGACTGAGTTGTTTAGGTATATTAGTACCTAGTTCACCTATGTGTTATGCATTGACTTGTGTGTGACGGTATTCAATATAATCACTTGATTTTGTTATCTTCTTTGTCTCAAGGGTATTTGTGAAATTCTTAAGCATTCACACAAAAGAGACTGACATGGATGACAGGACAATGAATGATTTCTGAAGATATTTTATTCATAATGAAATCAAGAGTTCAAATTGTGGTATGCTTCATTTGTGAAACACCCATATATGCAAAGGTCTATTATGTCGGTTAAGACATCAATTTAAATAAACACAACAACTGGATTATTGACCTTTTGCTATTGGCCTGTGGATATATGCTTAAGTGTTCTCCATAAGCATCACTGCAGCATGGTAAATAGCTAGTGGCACAACTACCATTACTGAAGATTTATTCAAGATGGCTTAAATCTGAGATTCTAAAGGTTAAGTTTTTTGTTTCTGAAGGAACCCCTGCATTTTGTTGACAATGAGATGAGCATTACAATATCTTTCTTTTGGGAATCAGATTAAGAGTCCATCTTCCTACAAGCCAAACTAGCTTCCGCTGATGTTTCAACCAAACATGCTCCACTAGCAAATTTTATCAAAGCTTGTCAACTTTGATTTTTTTGACTTAATATATATTTAAAAAATCATATCTAAAGCATATATACTTCATGACTTGATATGTATCATGTTTTCTTGTCTTCTTAACATTAGGAGTCCACTTGTTTCATTTCTTTATGAAAGAGGATGGCGTCAAAACTTCAACCGAAGTGGCTTTCCAGGTCTTGATGAAGAGGTATACTCCTCACCTTTTTTCATTTTCCTATTGTTTCATATCCTACTCCAAGATTCCATCTTATGAGTCTCACCTCTGCATTGTTTATTTTATGAAGGCTATATTTAAAAAGAAAGACTAACATTCTTGCTTCAGTTGCACTGTGTTCATGATGATGTGCATACACCAATAATGAACCACTATGTCAACATGGTAGAGGTCTCTCCAAGTGTTAATTGATGAATTGCTGGTATATTGTTTACTTGGCAGTTCAACATGGCTCAAGAATACTTCAAGCCTGTCGCAGGCGGTTTGCTTGTAGATGTTAGCTGTGGGAGTGGCTTGTTTTCAAGAAAATTTGCAAAATCTGGATCTTTTTCTGCTGTTGTCGCACTAGATTTTTCTGAGAATATGCTTCGTCAATGCTATGAGTTCATCAAGCAAGATGATACTCTAATAACAACGTAAGTATCTTCCTGATCATGTCACTTGGTGTTTTCACTTCAGAAATTATTTTATTGCGTTAACTTTTTGGTCATGGTTTTTAAGGAAGTTGATTCTAATCATTTTGTATAATTTTGAGCTTACTTCTGGGATAATGAATTTGCTTGACAATTTATAGAAACCTTGCTCTTGTAAGGGCAGATGTATCAAGGCTTCCCTTTGCATCAGGTTCTATTGATGCCGTTCATGCTGGTGCAGCTTTGCATTGCTGGCCTTCACCTTCCAATGCGGTAATAATACAATTTTCTTGCTATAGTCCGATGATATTTATGGAACTTGCTCCTTTAAGCTACAAAGACTTCTTCTGTTTCCTTTTGTGCAAAGAAAATATAAATTTCTTGGATGTGATTTTCTTATGAACAGGTGACATAAATTATGAACTTTTGTGTCAAAGATATACCATTATAGTTTACATAGCACTATAAAAAGTGGCAGCATTTGGCAGATGTTTATTCATACGTGAGTGGCTTCTCATGGGTGGTAGTTTCCTGGTGGTTTGGTTGCCAGTCAAGACATGAGCATCATTTGTAGATTCTTAGATGACTTCCTTCTGAAAGTAACTTGTCCATTTATATCAATCTTAAGTTTCATGACAAGAGTTGGTAATATATTATGTACCTTAACCTCACAATTAATAGAACCACTAAAAGTTTACAAAAGCAACAAACCTGACACATTTAAAGAAACACTGTTGAATATCATGCTTGCCCTTGTTGCATATTTGGAAGATTAGCAAAAACTCATCACCACTTGTCTAAACCAAGTACCGCATAGGCTTGCTGTGGCACCCATGCTAGATGACATGTATCATGTCGACGTGGAACCATCATATTGGTCTGTCATGAATCTGAGGTTTGCTGATACCACATTTTACTGGGCATGTTCCCCACAGACTTCCTGCAGCGAAGATGTGTCAATCGGAAAATACCGTACTTGCATGTTACTGGTTCTAAGGTGTCCCATCAAACTACAAACTTTAGTTTAAAACTGAAACAAAATCTAAACTTCTCTAGTTTTAACCATTCTCATACTTTTATCATAGTCTATGTAGATGGCACCTTTTCTTAAATCCTGCAACGTAACATCATGCAGGTGTCTTGGGTCTACAGAAAACTGTCACATTAAATGTGTGAGAGATTTTTCTCTCTTCCCACACTCTTCTCATTTTGATGGAGAATTAAGTTAGGTCAATCATGGTGATCATGTTAAATGTCAAATATTTGCCACATGAACTGAAGGGTTTTTTTACATGACATTCATTTTAATGTGCCTTCTGAAGAAGTTAATTATGTGCTCTAATCACAGTAAGATGTGATTTAGCTCAACTAAGATTTGCAACTCCTGAATATTGTAGTAGGCCTTCACCCTAATTGAAGTACAAATATGTAATATCTGTCTCTTTTACCTTGATAAAATTTTCATTCTTATAGGAAACTCACCTTTGGGTGGAGCTAGCTAACAAACCATTTGAACATGCAACCCCTGCTTCTATTTTGGAATAAATCTCTTTGGTTTACTTTTCATTAATCATTACAAGATACTTATTTTGATCATATTCCACCAGGTTGCTGAGATAAGTCGGGTTTTAAGAAGTGGTGGTGTCTTTGTCGCAACAACGTTTCTGGTATCTCCTCTGAATACTCCATTACCTTTAGAAGCATTTCAGTCTCTAAGACAGGTAATTAATTTTACACTCACACCATCTCTCATTCTAGTTGCTACTAGCAGGATCTAGCTGACACTTCTCGATATTTTTTCAGTCATTCGGCCAAGTGACCAACAGCTACAACTACTTCACCGAGAAAGAAATCGAAGACTTGTGCAGATCCTGTGGCCTCGTCAATTATACAAGCACTGTGCGGAGGTCCTTTATCATGTTTTCTGCACAGAAACCATAACAAAAGTGTTGTGATTCTGCCACTCCTCAGAAGATTTGTTCACAAATAATACCAATGCTAGAGAAGAAATATACAGATACTATCTGCAGAAAAAGGAGTCCTCACCATCTAATGTTGTGTATTTATAGAGTTCTGTATGGAACTCATGGAATTATCTGTGTATCACTAACTTATGTTAGACATCATCTTCAAATGTTGCATGGATATTATAGTCTTCAAATGTGCCAACTTCATTCCTTGTAAATTTAGTGTGGTTTTACATATCTATCTGTGCAAAGTTTGGAATTAGCATATTTACCCTTGTAAATTTTGATATAGCATATATAAATTAAAATTAATTTGGCAGGGACAAATAGAAGAATCACAAACTTTGGAGGAAACAGATCTAATTTTGCCTAAATTCAAAAAAAGTGGATTAAAGAGAATAAAATAATCCAAGTTACGTGCCATCCTCTATTTCCATATCCTTCTTTTCTAAGAACGTCTAAGCTTCTTTAATCGATTATTATGACCCAGTCTGTTCATCATACACATTGACTGTTTCAGAAGAGCTTATCCTCGCATTGACTACACAAGCAGAGTTGATCCTTGTATTTCTTTTCTTTTATCAGTGGATTCAAGTTAGAATCCAAGAACAGCTCAACACAATTTTTTCTTTGAATTATGCTACGATACTGAGTATAATTTCTTATTTTTATTCCGAGAAAAGGAGGAGAGAAAACGAAAAAGATAAGATGTTCTACATTAATCCTTGAATTATGAACAAATCTGTGCGTATCTTTCAATCGGTTTTAACCTGTAATCGATATGGATTTGGGATCATGATGAGATCTACTATGAGTTAAACCAAAAATCTAAGAGCTCTCTACAGAATATGTGCGGTCAACGCAGGCCATTCGTCACGCATCAGTGATCTCTACAACAAAGTTGACTTCAATCTATCTATATAAATTGATTCGTAGTTGGTGAGTTGGTAGTGAAGCATGTCATC